TCCCTGGCCCAGCCAGCCAAGTCGTCTCTCAACCGTCTTTAAAATGCACTTTTTCGAGACGGAAAAAGGACGGCCGTGAGCGCGAAAATCAGCTGGTGGAAAGACCGTCGTGAGCCGGACCAACCGTCGTCCACACAGTTAAAAAAAATTGTAACTTTACAAGAGTATACCTGTAATCTGGTACAGAAATATTATGGTAATTTTACAGAGTATGGTAAATTTACTAAATGTCTTCTGTAAATTTACAAGTTTGGTAATTTTACATAAAAGTATTAGTAAAATTACCGAAACCCTGTAATTTTCCCCAAAATGTGTGGTAATTTTACAAATGGCTGTAATAGTACGACATGTCTTCTGAAATATTACAGAGAACATTGAGAATCACTAGAGCCTGTACAATTCACTTCCAGTAAATTTCTGTAAAAATACTGAATTGATCTGTATAACAGAAAGTAATGCTTTCTTAGACCTAGCATACGGTTGCGTGTTTGCACGTGCTGTTCGAAAGACTTTTATACTAACATTTATAGATCAACACAGTAAATTTTAGTCCTGTGCATTCGATTATTGGGCTCGGGTTTGAGTAAAAGTCAAGGAGAGGTAGTGCCTAGGAACTGACCCGCCACTTACAGGAGCCCTGTTAGTGGCGGCGTGAGATTAGTGATCCGTGAATTTCCTAACGCCAAAACAGCTGGGCGGAAATCCCAGCGTGGGGCTGGCCCTGGGCCCCGGGCCGAGGTCCTGCCTCCTCCCAACGTCAACAGGCTGGAGATGAGTAGCCAACAGAATATGTTAAGGAGGCAGTAAGTTATTAGTCAGTTAGAACTACACTCATCTTCGTATGTTCTTCAAACAATTAAAATGGGTAGTACCAACGGGAATTTTAAATTAATGCTTTGAGGGCCGCGGCGTGGCGCGTGGTACGCCGTGTACCTGCCTGGTCACATAATCCCCAAGCCCGGCCGGTCGGGTCGTCTACGGTCACCCGGCACCCGGCTGTCGAGTCACACGGGGACAGTCGAGCATCCCTCCCAACAAGTCCCAGTGGTCTAGTGGTTATCGTGCTGGGTTCTCAACGCAGTCGTCCGAGGTTCAACTCCCGCCGGGTCAAGGTAATTGGTTATTCACTTAAATGCTTACTTCGTTGCTTGTTTAATACGGTGAGGTAGGTAGGCAAGGGTAGGAGGCAAGGGGCAAAAACCTCCGGATACTCAGAGGCGAACGAAATTTCTTTTCCTTTTCTCGAATTACCACACTTTACATGTATGATAAAACTTTTACAGAACAGACCTGTAAATTTACCAGTATATCACGGGAAAATGATTACCATATAAAAACCGGAATCTGTTTTACTAGTGTTCTGTAATTTTACAGACTATGGTAATTTTACTAGACAATGTATTGGCACTAAGTATGCCAAGACTTTTTCTGTAAAATCCCTCCAAAACTTTTTAACTGTGCACCCGTCTTCCAGCGGTCTCCCCACGGGCTGCAAACCGGCGCGTGACCGTCTTTTCCCTGGCTCGCCGACGAGACCAGAAAACTCTGTCTTACA